ATTCGTCTTAAAATGAAAAATCAAACTTAAATAATTATTTTGGAACGGAAAGAATACACTGTAAATTCCATTCTACGTTTAAAATCTCAGTATAAACCCCATACTTTCTGCTCTATAATTGAAAAATAGCCACCTTTCGTAAGATTTCGATGCACTTCGCCGTCTTCCATAGGCCACAGCTCTCTAATGATGCCCCTTTATCTGAATTTATAATCAATTAGAGAGTGAGCTACTCAGATTGGGTCGGGACAAATAAAATCCAACAATAGGGTTGCATGTAAAGGCCCAAATCACTCCGATGCTTGTACATGTGACCTTGCTTCAAAGTTTTTTTTTTCTTTTTTTAAACGGTACTTATATTTTAATTCTAAATATTTACACTATTACATTGTAGTTTCGAATAAGCTAAATTACTTTAAAGTGAATGCACTGATGATCAGAGACTTTCTTTAATTTCTTAATTTTCCCTGATATTAATCATTTTTTGAGTATCACGTCTAGAAACACATTTATATATTTTAAAAGATTGCTCATCAGTCTGTCTTTAGAACTCTCTTATATGTACTCTAAACAAATTAAGCTTAATTTCGTCTCAATTAACCTCTCCATAAATGTCCATAGAAAGAATTTCCTAAACAATTCTTGAGTGACATACTCGGGTTACAAATCAGGACACACGATGCGGGTTCGTCCCAATAAAACATTCACAGATATTCATAAACAGAGAGAAAACCAACTCTCGCTCCATGTGAAGTAGAGAATTAAACTCAAAACTTCCTTGGAAAAAGATTATAGTGATGACAAGTCATTCGCAGATTAATTATTGTTGTTATTGAGTATTTTCTGATGAAAAAAAAAACTATAATTAATAAAAACCTTACTAAGAAGAAAAATGAAAAGGACAATGAAGACTTATCCAAATAAAAGAATAAATCTAATTTGTCCAACTAAAGTATTATGAAAAAAATAAATTATTTTTCTAAGACAGAAAGAACCCAAGAAACCGTTTATTTATTTTGATGCATAAACTGAAGAAGTAATTGTTTAAATTCTAGAGTTGATGATACTTAAACTTCTAATATGTAATTCGAACCATCACTTAAGATACTACTACTTTGTTGTGTGTCTATGCTTTTCCTCTAAATTTATAAACTTGTTCGTGTTTTACGTATATCATCGCTTCAAAAATAATTATTAAGTTTTTTTTAAGTGTTATATATACTTTTTATTATAAATTTAATGATCATTTTGCATGGATCAACAGATCTAGGAGTATGCCTTTTTTTTACCCTCTTAACGTAATTTAGAAAAATTCACGAACAGATCAAAAGAGACTTTCCCTTGTTAGGTTGCAGAGTCTTTCCAGAACAACTTCCAAATTGCGTTTGCTGAGTTAAAAGAAGTTTAAAAAATGCCTAGAAATGAAGTTGAAATGACGCCAACATCTATATCTTATTGTTATCAATACAAACCTTCATAGTTTATTCAAAGTGCACTTACGTGTGACAACCGACAAACATCATCTTTCGTGGAATCCCAGCATGTATAGACTCAAACATGAGAACAAATGTTCAGATCTAGTATTAAAAACATGACCAAATTAATTTCTTTATTCAATCTACAACAAAAGGTTAGTCTGGTTAGATATGTCTCTCCCAATTTTATGCAAAGTTATTTCTTAAATTGACCTAGTTTTGTTTGCTAATACTGTGATTTAGTTTTCGAAAAATTTGTAGTCCGAATGATTCAGTCATAACTCGGAAGTTACAAGGATTCAACTATAAATCATTGAATCATGGCACACCAGTCTTTCTGTGAATAACAAAGTTGAAATTTCTACTACGAATTAAATAAATAAAATTACCATTTCCAGATGAAATACTTCAGCAGAAAAAGTTTGGACAACGTATTTGATATGTATAGAAATTCATGGGGTTTCACCTCAAAACCAATTGACAATGAGGAGAGTAGTCTATGATGCTTATATACTGATACAAAGTGTCTCCAAATACTAATGTGGGATAAATACTTCAACAATATGAAAATCATTTGATTCACATCATGCGAGCATCAAGTTGTGTTAAAAGCCATACCAACCTGTATATTAAATGAATTTAATCATAACAAAATTTTCAGAAATGGGAATGATGGGGGTCCTAGTGAGATTAGATTCAAGACATGAAAAACTTCCAATGAAGGAAAAACGGGTCCAGTGACAAGATTACGGCATGATGAGGTTGACCCCCTTTTTTCAATTTAAAAAAAAACACAATTATAAAAGCAAAACAATATTGGACAATATCATAATAAAGGACCACTAATTAATCACTATATTAATACAAATGTGGAATTCAAGTAAAAATTTTAAAAAGGGGTTCTAATTATTTTAGTGTTTGAAATTTGTGGTAGAGACATTCCAATCATGAATGATTAAGTAAACTAACCTTGCTTTTATAGCAATAGTCTCCAACCCCAATTACTGTCATTTATCACTAATCACATTCTTAATTCTCTCATGGTTTCTTTCTTTTCATTTCTTTTGTAGGCCCAATTCCCCCCACTCCATTGCTCCCCCTTAAAGCTAAGAATCATCATGATTCTGCTTTTCAAATTTCCATCTCTCACTATATAAATTTATAAATTGGCAGTCTTTTTTCAAATGATAATGTGTTTTACTTTCAAAATCAGCTTCCTATCCATCCCAAGCAAAAGTCACTGATTCCCACATCAAATGTGGTGAATGATTTGCATCAACAAACAAATCCCTCTTTTTCTCCCTTAATTAATTTGTCCTTGTCAATTGTTATTTTCTTGTCTCTCATTTTGTTCCCTCTCCATATATATATATATATATATATATATATATAATTTATTGATATTCTCAACGTACCGACGTATGTATAACAATGCACATGTAAAACATGGTGGGTTTTGTTTTTTTTTTGGGTGTATACTTCAAGAAATGCATGGGATTATCACTTGTTAATTACCGCGTTTTATGCTGTAATAAATGGGTGGTTTTCAAGTTTGAAAAGTTTTGGATTAAGTTGCACGAAAATGGAAAATTTCAAGGGGGGGGGGGCTAATATTTTACTAATGGTGATGGTTACCTAGGGTGGTTTGTAGTGTAACTAAAAGCAAGTAATATATGTCCAAAAACCAGCTTTTGATATGAGATAGAGCCAAATTTTTGCGTTGGTGATGTTTAGCAAATAGAAAGCGATCGATTTAATTGGGAGAAATAATTTGCATGTATTTCTAGGCAATTTCAAGATTGCTCGTGGTATCTAGGCATGGTTCAGGAATGGCAAAATGATAGGGATCAACATCTACAACAGATAGTTGCCTCAGAAAGGATCCAAGAAAAAATGAAGGAAGTAGATAAAATTTTTTACCAAGGACTTATCTGAAGTTTTATTGTCCAGACATAACTTATACCCCTTCATAACTGATTTGGTTACAGATCCAGGAAAAACCATGCATAATGAAGTTCTTTGGTTTTTTTTTTTTGTGGGGGGCGGGTTTCTTCAAAGATTCCTTGTGAAGATTTTAACTTGTGATGAATATGTTCAGAATCAAAGAAACAGTATATATGAGGAGTAGTGATCCGCGGGGTGAAGTACTTTATTACAATATTGCATCATCATGATACTGTAGAGGTAGTTTATCCCCATAGTGTAACGAGCTAGTTTTCAAGAGTAACGTCTTCAATATGTGTACTAAAAAAGAAACAAAACGGAAATAAGAAAAATAATAGAAAATGTATATAGAAAGAAAAAATAATACTGTAGAGGTGGTTCCTCTCATTCATGAGTTTCAACCTTCACCAACCCCTTAGATTTCCGTGTTTCTTTTTTGGGTTCATTTTAACTCTGCAAATATAGGATTTACTGATTCGTTAATTGGGAAAGGAGGATTAAAATTCATTTGACAAAGTCGCAGAATCTTTAAATAAGAAAATTAAACGATTTGTTATTGAAATGTTCTTTAATGTATGATCAAACGGGGAAATTAATCTTGAGAGTCGACATACTCCTTGTGTCTAAATATTGACAACGATATGTAAATTTTATTGAGTATTAATTTAGAACCCTAGAAAAGAAAAGTGAAAAGCTCTTCACATTCCAGAAAAAGAGAAAAGAGGTTAATGGAAGTAGTTAGCATCATGCGTTAATTCAGCCTTTAGAAAATTTTGATTGAAAGTCATGAATGCGAGGAATATTAATCATGATTGACAAGATAAGATGGTGTTGTTGCAGTACCAGTGACATGATCATCAGCATAATTAATCCCAAGAAAAACATAATTCGTGTCAAACTGCTGTTGATTTTGTTGTTGAAACTCTCTCTCAAATTTTATGGAGAAATAAACTCAGTACTTACATAGAGCATCATTTTCAGAAAAAAAAAAAAAAAACATGATGATAAACCTAGTTTATTCTTCATTTCATTTCTAATTTTGAGCCTTATACAAATAACTTTTCACCTTGGAAGATCAAATTTGCACACGTTAATCCCTTCAAACAATGTATATCAATTGTATTTTAGTAGTGTAACAAAAATATTGTTTCTTTAACCTAAAACCGCCTAAACTTTATTCTAACTCAAAAGACATTTATCTTCACTAATAAAACATTAATAAGTGATACACAAAAGGCGAGACAAATGTTGGTGTCTGTGCAAAGAAAATATCACTAGAATATAGTAAAAATGCTAGTTCAGTAATTATTTTTTTGGTACAAAAGAATTTGTTTAATTACATGCATGACTAATTTGAACACACAATATAGATACGTAGGTAGGATGGGTCTTTTTTTTTTTTTTTTTTGGGGGTGAGAAAAACTTAACCAACAAATGGGATGTCTGAAATTTCTGGATCGATGAGGTACGTGAAAGTTGGTTACATAATAATACTATAAACTACGTACTACAAATATTCTCTGTACGTAGAAAAGGGAGACAAACCCTATTATGCGAGCTGATAAAACGTCATTTTAAGGTTAGATGGAATCAATGGGGGCCATATTTTGTTGGGACCCTCTTTATTTTCGCTCCCTGGCTAGCTTCTGTTCATGGCTGTCTCTGCTCCCATTTTTTTGTATCTCTCTCATTTCTTTTCCAACATGTTTATATAAAAGGGTTCAGAAAGGAGGGAGTTCTGTTTTGTTTTTGTTAAAGGGCTGATTCTCAGAGAAACAGAAAGGGGTTTTTCAAAGTTCATATATAGGGTAATAATCTTCAAAAACATGGGACACCATTCTTGCTGCAACCAGCAGAAGGTTAAGAGAGGGCTTTGGTCACCTGAAGAGGATGAAAAGCTGATTAGATATATAACTACTCATGGCTATGGCTGCTGGAGTGAAGTTCCTGAAAAAGCCGGTTTGTTTGTTTTTTCTATTTCTTTCAACTCTTTTTGCATGCTCACATTGTGTATATATATTGTGCCTTTGTCCTTTTTCTTCCTATCATCATTTTTATTACAGCATAAAATGGTGAATCTTTTACAGCAATTTCTGTGTCAAATTACTGATAAGGTTTGTGATCAGCAATGATTTCATGGGTTAATTCTCTTTTTTGGTGTTTCTTTTCCTTAAAGGGCTTCAAAGATGTGGGAAAAGCTGCCGGTTAAGATGGATAAACTACCTTAGACCTGATATCAGAAGGGGAAGGTTTACACCTGAAGAAGAGAAGTTGATCATCAGCCTTCACGGTGCTGTTGGAAACAGGTTTTTTCTCCCGGTCGATAATTAGTTTATCTCGTAATTTTGTTAACTTTGTGTTACTACATTCTCGCTTCCATCATCTTCAAAAACCTTCAGTTTCAGTATACAAAATTGCATTAGCTAGCTTCTTCATACTCTCCATTCATCCCCATTTCTTTGTCATCAAAAGTAACCAGAGACATTAGGAAAAAGTAGTATTTTTCCCCCCTCTTTTCCATCAAGATACCAAGTAATAGTCAACAGTTTTGTCTCCTGTAGCAATGGATTTTGGCTGTTCAAATCTTTGAGTAAACATAGCTTAAGAGTTTATTCAACTTGAAGCATCAATTCCATTGGGAAACATTTCATTTTCCTAAAACTTTCTGCGTCAATATAAGTAGCCTAGCTAGTGTCTTTGTTCCTTCTTGATGAATTAATGATTGAGCCTTCCAATTTAAGTGTCGGAGCACGTTTGTATACACACACACACACACTCGCACACAAAAATATTATATAATAATGAACTAGTATTAGCTAGTCTTGGTCATAACTCATAACATTTTTTTTTATAAAAAAAATAGTTACTTCGTTTTCAGAGTAGTTTCCAGGTACTCGCAAGTTGTTTTCAGTTAATACAGGTAGTATTCTGCATTAGGAGAACTTTTCGTCCGATTTTAATAGTCCACTTTGTTATACTGTTTTAGTTTGATAGAATAGACAACGAAATTGAGCCATATAGAGTAAGTAGTGATTTTGTTTTTTTTAGTCTTCCACTGCAATTATATACTCTACTCTCAAGCCGTAACTACTCTAGCTAGTTGGTTTCCTTGTAGGCAATACCATATTACAACTACCTTCATCACTAAAAGTTTCTTCCATTAACTGAATCTCTCTGTTTGTAACAGCTTCATTATGTTTTGACATCTTTCAGCAAGAAAGTACTCTAGTTTCTCTTGATTTTCATTAACATTATTGATTCCGCACCAAATATATGATTAACTGGAGAGTTCTAAATTGTAGGTGGGCTCATATAGCAAGTCATTTGCCAGGGAGAACAGACAATGAAATCAAGAACTATTGGAATTCATGGATCAAGAAGAAAATACGAAAACCGACATCATCATCATCATCATCTCCAGGAGCTCCAGTATTAGCACCTAATCCTCCTACTGATCATAATCAACAATCCGGACAATTCACTTACAATGCAAACCAACTTGATCAAATGATGAATCATCAGCACAATAACAATAATGTTGATCCTCATCACGATAACTTATTTTCATCTCCACCATTGTTCATGTTTGACACCGCAGGCTGTTGTCCAGTACTACAAGGCTACACCGTTAACAGTGGAGATTGCAGCAGCAACAACAATTTTATTAGTACCCTAACCGAAGACCAAATGATTTTGCATCAGAACTCATCATCAATGTGGCCAAATGATCAATCATCCTCATCCTCGGCAACAGTATTAATCCAACCGTCAGCAGCTTTTAGTAGTACTAATGGTATGGATTCAAACAGTGCTAATTATTTGCCTCCATTAATCGACAACATCGAAAACATGGTGGCCATTGGGCAATCTTGTGGTGAGAATGTGTCATTGGATTGCATGCAAAAACAACATGATGATCATCAGCTAATAATGAATCAATGGGAAGTTGAAGCACAGCAGCAATGTCCAAGTTATCTGTTTTGGGATCAATCAGAAGAAGAAGGTCAACTTTTAAGTGGGGAAGAAACACAAGTACTTGCCACAACTGCTTCAAACAACATTGGAGCCATGCTTTCTTATCCTTCACCTCTGTAAATGAAAAGCTCATCCACATGACAAAAATCCAAACAAAATGAAACCATCTAATTTGACATGCATCCTCATCATCATGTCTCTTTTTTGGGGGTTAATTGTTTTCTTTAAACGGGATCAATTTATGTTCTGGTTGTGAGATAGGCAAAAGTGAGAGCTATTGTAATTAAGCGAAGGGGTTTTTTTTTATTATTATTAATATTTCTGCTTTCTGGGAAATCAAAAAAGAAAGAGAGGAGGAAATAAAGAGATGACAAGTTAATTTATAATCATCCGTATATCCTAGTTGTTGTACGGTATGTACACCTTTAGTGCACCTTATATATACTAGATAAATTTTGACTATTTTCTTACAATTATTGAGATAAACGATTTGATATAGTAATTTCTGAACAATCTGCGAGAACTGAGAATGAGAACATGGAAAAAATGTCATTTCTACCTAAAGTTTTGTCCTCATCGTCAATCATACCCAATAGATTTTCGATTAGCCAATTTTCTCTAATATTTGAAATTTTCGCTAATTTCGTCCAATTGGCTCATTTTCCGTCCAAATTAACGGATTTTCATTAGTTTTTTTTATTAAAATAATAAATTTAAATACAAAAATACCTCAGTAGTTTTTAAAAATTTTAAAAATAACCCTTAAAATATATAAAAATAACAAAATAGTCCCTTTTCACTTTTTTATTTTATTTTTCTCTATTTTGTTCCATTTTTCTCAACTACTTGTAATGACCATAAAAGTATATTATATGTGTTTTTAAAAAAATATTTATTTATTTTCAAATTCTACCGTAAAGATTAATCTTTGTATAGTTGTAACACATGGTTGTATTTATATAAGCATGTTAATCTTTTTAATAATATAGTTTAATAATAAAGACATTATTTTTCTGATTTATTTTATTCTTCCTAACATAAAGATTAAAAACATTTAAATGAAACTAATATTTCGCATAAAAATAAAGTATTAGCTCAAATAAAAAAATATTAATATTGGTTGAGAAACTGTTGCACAAATGGAAATTTTCGAGTTTAAACAAGCAACAGTAGTACTCTCGAGCTTAGACAATTATTTACTTTGTGGAAGCATGGCTACTGCATCATCATTCGAGAAGATAGGACAACCCATATGGTACTGCTAAGCATCTCGGGAATACTAAAGTGATAATCAGGAAGCCTAGGAAATTGGTTGAGAAAATGTTTATATATTTGGCCGTTGATCAAAAACCTCTTTCTACTTTCTAGTTCTAGTAGTCAACTCAGCCACCATAGAAATGCATGTAGTGTTCAGTTGTTTTCACCTCGCAAAACACATAGAATTGTAGTAATACGACTAGTAAGTAGTTTGCAGCATCTGCTCATCTACAGTAAGTAAAACAGTGTAAAATCCTCTGCTTCATTTCACATCACCCATTACCAAAGCATTCATTTCTCTTCCTTCTTCTCCTCTGCATAAGACCTCAACAACTCTTTTGAGTCTTGCTATTTTCTCATCTTGGTCGGCAACACCAAAATACCACCTCATGTTGACTGGAATACTCCTGGTATAATTTCTGGAATGTTTTTGCTTCATCCTCACCTAGTTGAAGGAGCATATGATCAACTAGTTCACTAGCCACCTCTCCCTCTTTGAATGTTTGCATCACTTCGTCATTCCCCAACATAGAACCAACTTCAGGATAGGCGTCGAAGAAAGCTATACAATGTCCAATGTGCCCAGGAGAGATACCATTGCAGCTCCGGACATGAATTGCCTCCCAAACATGAATGTTGAAGGAGTTGATGACTTTTATCTCTTCGGGCCGGGAGCGGTCCTTGGTATTGTGGAGTGGGTTTTGAAGCCATATGGGTGCATCCATGTTGATGAGCTCCCACCACCAACTCCCATCTGAGCTGAAAAAACATCAGGTACGTTGGGATTTCGACAAACTCAGCATCCTCTTTAGGCAGCTTCTCAAATCCTTCATCAGTCAATGGTGGTTTTCCTGTGACCAAATCTTTTTCAGTCAATGGTTTCTCTTGGACTTGATCCAACACTTTTTCTTCCTTTGTGATGTCTTTACCCATTCTGAAACTATTTTCGAAGTCCCTTACAAGCTGTATGATTTCTTTTCAGCTTCCAAGTACTCCAACTGCACAAAGCACATATATTATTATCCAGCAGCAGTATGGTACAAATCAGAAATGAACGATGGATGAAGCACATGCATTATTATTATCCAGCAGCAGTAGAGCTGGCCCCACAGACTTACTACCCATCCAAATTCATTGTACTTTAGTCCATAAATGTCCATCCATTTAAAATGCTGGACTTGGATGGATCTAGATAAAAAGTTGTTTGGACGGGTATGGGTAATCCACGGTTACCCATCGGGTAATTTATTAGATTTTCAAACTATACAATCATCATTTAAGTAGGCCATGACCCGACCCAACCCAACTTAATTAAGGAAGGGTTATATACGGGCTGGGTCATGACGAGTTGGCGTGGATTGTAAATTAACTGGTTTACTATAAAATTTTTACTCGCGGGTTGACCTATACATAAAATTACTTTTTAACAATGTTATATTTTATAACTTAATGGACTTCAAATTTTTACATTTACGGCAAGTATAACTGGGTCAGCCCATGCATCGAGGTGGATCGACTCAGTAACCAGGTCATGATACACGAGTCGAATTTTTATTTTTTTGTTCAAATAAATTTTACACTTGTATTTTCTAACTCCTTCAAGTTCAACTTTTACGTTTTAAGCCATATTAAACTGGGTTGATCCATGAGTCATGTCGGATCGACCCAATAACCGAATCACGGTACATGGATCGAATTTTGATTTTTAAAAAAATAAACTACAACAATGGATTTTAACTTAGGAAACTAATAATTATATTTTTTACTAAGTTTTACCGGTCGACCCATGGATCGACCCGTGAATCGAGTCGGGTCCATCTAGTAACCGGGTCGCGATACGCGACTCGAATTTTTTATTTTTTTGTTCAAAGAAACATTTACACTTTATATTTTCTCACTTATTGAAATTCAATTTCATGTTTCGAGCCATATTAAACTAGGTTGATTCACAGGTCGTATTGGATTGACCCAGTAATCGGACCACGATACATGTATAGTATTTTGAATTTTTTAAAAAATAAAGTACAATCATGAATTTTAACTTAAGAGACTAATAATTTTTATATTTTCTGTCAGGTTTTACCAGGTCGACCAATGGATCAAACTGGATCGACCCACGAATCGAGCTAGGTCAAACCATTAACCGGGTCAGGATAAGCGGGCGAATTTTTTTTTTTTTTTGGCTCAAATAAAACTTATACTTGTATTTTCAAACTCGTTGAATTTCAAATTTTCACGTTTCAAGCAATAGTTAACTGGGTCGAGTTGGGTTGACCCAATAACCGGGCCACGATATATGGGTCTAAGTTTGATTCTTTTTGTTAAATAAAGTACAAACATGAATTTTAATATAGGAGAATAATAAGTTTTATGTTTCACATCAAGTTTTAAAGGGGTGATCTAATATTTGGGTCACATTTGAATTTTTGTTAAAATAAAATATACACTTGTATTTCCAACTTATTGGACTCATACTATTCATATTGGTGTGAAAGAATTAATTTATTATTATTTTTATTTAGTTGGGCTCATATTTATTACATTGGTAATATATGTATTTATGTTAAAAAGTCCACTAAATGTATTTATGGATATCCATGGGTATGTATTCATGGATATACATGGATACCCATAGATACCCATGGGTATTTAATATCCATCCATTTAAATCCATTAAATTTAATGGATATGGATGGGTATTTACCCATTAATCTAATAACCATTAAAAACCAATTTCAAGTAGTCCAAATTTACCCATTTTCTAGCTTGAAGCGGCAGTACGGCAGAAATCAGAAATGGATGATGGATGAAATACTCACCTTATCCTCCCAGCAGGAGGTATCCTAAATCTTTCATTTTGTTCACCAGCCCTGTTAATTTTTTTATTAGTTAAAATTTTTCCCAAAAAATTGAAACTAAGACACCATTATACAAAGGAATACACAAAGACAGACTCCTAAATTTGATACCTTCTTTACTCAGACCAACACCATTGTCTATCATTGTGAGGGTGTTTTGGAGTTTGTCCTCTGGCAAGCAAAGAGTCTAGTTCCAGTTGAGAACTGTTGTTGGTAGAGCTGACTTCAGCAATGGACTACAACATCAAAACAAATTGTTTATATACTCTGTAGTTTTTAATTAATAGCAGAACAGGAAGCTCTGTTCCCAACTTGCTTATTTTGTGAATATCATAAGCAAATTTATTCCAACAGACATACAACTTTTCTCCTTTTCTTGTTTGTTAACATTCCACTAACACAAGAGGACAAATGTTGTTCCCAAATTACGTTAAGGCTCCGTTTCGTTAGAATGAATTGGAATTAAATTAGAATTATAATCTAAAATAATTAAAAATGAGATATTGAGATTGTAATTCAATCTTAATTATTTTGTTTGGGAGATCTTAAGAATTCATTAGAATTAAGGTTCCAATATCAATTATTGCGTTTGGATGCTTACAATGTACATATTGGAATTACTTGTTTCTAAATAATAAAAATAATTCTTATTTTCTTTTTTTAAAAATACATTTTTGTATATAATTTGTTTGTATAAATACAATTCTTAATTTGTTATATCAATTTTGTAATTGATTACATACATTAGACATTTATAATTTTTTTAATCACGTAAGCATTATTAATATGATAATTGATATTCTCACTCACACACAACAAATAATGAGTAAACCGTTGTTGTTTCTCCCTCTTTTATTAGATTTTAACATTTTTAATTTCTAATATTTGGAATTTCTTCATATCTTTTAATGAAAAAATTAATATTTAATATAAAAATCAATTTATGCATATTAGTATTCTTTTATATATAGATATACATTAAATTTCATATGCTAATAAATACTCCTCTATCCCGAAATTATTATCCAGTTTAGATTTTCATTTTTAGTACTATACTAAAAATGTATGCTATCATAATTTATTATGTACGTGTATAAAAAATTTTTATTGCATAAATCTATTAGTGAAAGTAAATTCCCACTCAATAAAAAATTAAGTCCCAAGTCAAACCTCTTTGTTTTTTCTCATTTTATTTTTAAAATTTTTGAAAAATTATATTTTCACGTCCATAAAATAATTTCCCAATTTGAGTTTTAATTTATACTGAAAATCTATACCAGACAATCATTTTAGGAGCAAGAAAGTATTAGTTTTAGTGCATAAAATGTATATAATTTGAATAATTGTTTGAGAAAAAATTCAGAAAAAAATTTATATCATTTTTTATAATATAATAAGAAAAAGGTTCCTTGACCGAAGGAAATGCAGTCACTTATAAATATTTTCTAATACATTTTGGTATGGAAATATTTTAATAAATTTTTTGCTACAAAATATATATATTGAGTTAAAGAGAGAGATTTTGAAAATGAAAATTTGAAGAAAAAGATGAAAAGGAAAAAAAATGAAAAATTGGAAGAAAAAAAAAGAAGCAATGCACGGTGGAAAATGTAAACCGGTTTTATAGGAGGGAAAACTAAAAAAATAAAAACAAAAATAGAAAAAAGGAAACAGCGCATTACTTAGAAGACCCACTTTCTTATAACCCAGTTTTGACCCGTTTTTTGACCCGCGGTCTTTTCGTAAGTTCCTCGAAATTGAATTCGAATTATTTGCTCCCACAGCAGAATTAAAAACAAAGAATTGAACCCTAAAAAGTATTGTAATTGTAATTCTTACACTTTTATTTTTAATCAATCAAACACAAGAATTGGAATTTGAGATCTCCAATTTCAATTCTTGGTCCCAATTCAATGCAATCAAATAGAGCCTAAAACAAATCTTGTAAACCTCACTCACTCACAGGCACATACAAACAAACACCTTGATATTCGAACATGATTAATACGGTGCAATAAATTATTTACCGGCGGAATACAACAAGAAGCAGTGCGAATTTATAGATTAGGTCACGGTAGAATCCAATTGAGCAACACATATGCTGTTTCCAACAACAAAAAAAAAAAAGAAGAGCAACACATACACGCAGTACGCACATTTACCAATTACAACATACATATGCAATATGCATAGTGAAATCGGATTCAGTTGCTTAACGTAAGTAAGAAGCTAATTTACCCATGGACTACACGCAATTCACAATCTTACAGACCTAATTGAACTCACAATTCCCCCAAAAAAAAAGCTCATGCATACATACGGAAGAACAAACAAAATTAGCCAATATTCTGTTTTAAGGTTTTGAACTTTTCCCCTCCAAAAACTTCAACTCTCAGTTAACATTCTCTCAGAATAAAATACACTATTTGTCAACGTTAAGTCGTTAACATAATAATTTAATTCTGAATTCAAAGGGCTTAACCAAAAATACGAAAACCTATTACCACACTACATACAAACCGCGCAGTTGAAAGCGTCCCTATCCCAAGCGACCTAGCAAAAATGGTGTATAAAAGTTCTCTTGAATCAGAAACCCACATCAATGTCTTGATCCAAGCAGCTTGATTTCAAATCCAGTTTTGAAAGCAACAAAAAGAGGGAAAAAAAGAAAGAAAATAAAATGGCCACTGATCAGAAAAAGTTGAGATTCAAAGGTTGCTCCTACTTGCAACACTGACCCTGATAGAAATACGTACTAACATTAAAGGAGTAGTTACTCATGTTAGCAAATTAGTTCAAATTTCTACCTCTGATTAGGACTGGACGGAACACTTGCCAAGGCCTAAGTTATGTTTCAATACCAGGATGTTTAAAGTATGCACCTGGCCAACATAAAACTCAGCTTGGGACAGAGTTCAATATCTACTAGCAAAGCGAAAACTTTGACCATCAAAACTACAAACACACACCTTTCCTTCAAAAATTTACAATGATACTTCTAGCAGCAACATTAACCATCAGTACTGATGTTTTATTAGTCATATTCTGCTATTTTTACTAGTAGCGCCTCGGGAATTTTCTCTTTTCAGTCAACCTCCTCCATTTTGCTCTCTTCATTGGTTTCCTCCAATGCACTCATCCCAGTGTCTTCATTCTCTCCGGTGCCATCTTCAATGTTAAGGCCTAGCTTCAACATTCTATGAATTCTTCCCCCGAATTGGTTTGGATCGTCAAGGCTAAAACCAGATGTCAATAGAGCTGTCTCGTAAAGGAGCAACACCAGGTCTTTCACTGATTTGTCATTTGAATCTCTATCCGCCCTCTTCCTGAGTTCCTCCATGATGCCATTATCTGGATTGATCTCCATTGTCTTCTTGCTCGACATGTAATTACTCATGCTGGTATCCCTTAACGCCTGCGCCTTCATGATCCTTTCCATGTTAGCGGTCCAGCCATACTCACCGGTTACTAAAACACAGGGAGAATCGACAATCCTATCAGATACGACAACTTTCTCAACCTTATCCCCAAGAATGTCCTTCATTACTTTACACAGGTTCTCAAAGGACTTCTTCTTTTCTTCCTTTGCAGCTTTCTCTTCCTCTGACTCTTCGAGCTTCAGCCCTTCCTTTGTTGCAGAAATGAGCTTCTTCCCATCGTATTCCCTTAATTGTGAAACCACGTATTCATCAATCGCATCAACCATAAAAAGCACTTCGTATCCTTTCCTCTTAAGCTTTTCCAGGAAAGGAGAGTTCTCAACAGCTTTCTTGCTCTCACCAGTGATATAGTATATATCCTGTTGCCCCTCCTTCATCCTTGTCACATAGTCCTTCAGACTGGTCATCTCGTCGCCACTCTTTGTAGAGTAGTACCTCAGAAGATCTGCTAGCTTTGCCCTGTTTTGGGCGTCTTCATGGACACCTAGCTTGAGGTTCTTAGAGAAGGCATCATAAAATTTACTGTAGTCCTCTTTGTTCTCAGCAATTTCAAAGAACATCTCAATACACTTCTTAACAAGATTCTTCCGAATAACCTTCAAGATTTTGTTCTGTTGAAGAGTCTCACGGGATATATTTAGTGGGAGGTCATCCGAATCAACTACGCCTTTGATAAATCCAAGGTATTCAGGAATCAACTCCTCACAATTGTCCATGATGAAGACCCTCCTCACATAAAGCTTAATGTTGTTCGGCTTTTTCCTCGTATCAAAGAGATCAAAGGGAGCCCTCCTAGGGACAAAGAGTATAGCTTTGAACTCTAATTGCCCTTCCACAGAGAAGTGCTTCACCGCTAGGTGATCTTCCCAATCATTTGTTAGACTCTTATAGAACGCAGCATACTCCTCCTTCGTGATTTCTTCAGGCTGGCGAAGCCATATAGGTTTCTGCTTGTTAATGACCTCCCACTCATGTGTCACCTGCTTAATCTTCTTTGTTTTCTTCCTTTCTTCTTCGTCTCTCTCATTGTCAACATCTTCAACTTTTCCCTCCTCTTCCTTCATGGTGTCATCATCTTCATCATCACTGACTTCTTTCTCAGTGGTCTTCTCAACCAACAGATATATTGGATAGCTAATAAATTCAGAATGCTTTCTAACAAGTTCTTTGATCCTCTTCTCCTCCAGGTATTCCAACTACATCACATAATAATACTTGTTATTAGCCGCATGTGAGTCAGATACATTGGGATTCATTGATGACAAAAGCAAACTCTATGAAAATGGGGCCAAAACCACCAAGTTAGAACCAAGGTTTTATGAGCTCTACTATAGCAATGGGAACTACTTGTTCTGGGATGCATAAACTGGTAAATAAAGGTCACTCATCAGATACATAAACTGGTTTTATGAGCTTTATCAAGTGGTCAGATGAGAGTTCAAAGCACCAGAAGTTTTTCTCCCATTGAAAAGACCTTTATTTACAGGGTACATTAATTAAGTTTTATTTACGGGGCATATTAATTCAGCTAAAATGTCTAATATTGCAGATACCAAAAATGGAATCAACATGGAATGGCATATGCTCAGAGGACAAAAACAAGAGACCTGATCATCCTTGAGGTAGAGAGTGACTTTGGTACCCCTACCCAGTGGTTCTCCATTAGTATCCCTGGACACAGTGAAAGATCCACCAGCTTGCGATTCCCAAACATACTGTTCATCATCATTATGTTTGGTAGTGACGACGACCTTTTCAGCAACAAGGTAGGCTGAGTAAAAACCTACGCCGAACTGTCCAATCATGCTAACATCAACCCCAGCCTGCAATGCCTCCATGAACTCCTTTGTCCCAGACCTCGCAATTGTCCCCAAATTGTTCACCAACTCTAAAGTTTGTGACAACAAAACAAATGACTTAATTCCCAATCATTCACCACAAAAACTAGAAGAATCATTTGTGAATCGTTATGTCCATCCTGCTCTTACTTTTGTACTTCACATGATCAATCATCGAACATATCTATACATATTCAACTACAGAACGTATGCTACCATCAATTAAAACTAAAATAAATAAATGAGTACTAGAATATTTTTGATTGCTAATTAGCCTAAAGAATGAGTAACTAGAACATTACTGGAGCTACACAAAAAAGCAGAGATATGAAATCACCACCCAGAAATAGAGCCAAGAAAACTCAAAATAAGGTGGACATCTCGTAATCAACACTTTATCAGAAGAAATCACTCGTCGATTCAGACAAGAAATAGTGCTCTAACCATAAACCAAAACCATATATAAATTCAACCTCAATTGTAGGTGTTTTTTTAAAAAATCCCCTCAATTGTAGAGACACCCGTTCGTAAGAATACCTGATTTGGTCATTCCAACTCCGCTGTCTATAATGGACAGAGTTTTGTTAACTTTATCCGGTACAATCCGAATAAAGAGCTCCGGCTGTGAATCTAGTTTGCTCTTGTCCGTCAAGCTCTCAAATCGAATCTTATCCAAAGCCTGCAACAACAAAATTGTACTTCCCAGATCAATTCACAGAAAAATGAAATTAAGTAAAATTAAACAGAACACACACTCACACGCACAGAGAAAAGGAAAAAGAAAAACCGAAAAATGTAAGTAGAAGAAATTAATAGAGAAATACTGACATCGGAAGCATTGCTGATGAGCTCACGAAGGAAGATCTCTTTGTTACTGTAAAAAGTATTGATGATGAGACTCAGCAGCTGGTTAATCTCCGCTTGAAATGCGAACGTCTCTGTTTCCGCCATGCCTATATTCTGACCTTGGTTCTTTTATTTCAGTGTGTGAGTGTGTGTAAACTGGCAGAAGGAGAAATGTGTGAGTGAGAGAGTGTAGGTTGTTTTCTGCCTTTTGATAGAGAATTCGGAAATGGAAGGGAGTTGAGATGGAGTTTTGAAAGTTCAGGAAGAGTACAGATGTTTGATTTTTTTTTTTTTTTTTTCCACCTTTTTGGCGGGGGGTTATTCCAGTGCTTTCTGAGATTTTCCATTCATTTTCAGTTCCGTAGGCATCCAAAACTCAGGCAGGCTTCTCTCTGAAGTCAGCCGTTTTAGGTCCAGCCCATCTTATGTAAATCCATAATTTATGAGTACTTTCTCTAATTAAAAAGTTGGGCTTTAGACATGTTTGAAGTTTCTTAAACAATAATAATAATAATTCACTAGTTTTGTATCAACATCTGACTTTCAGAATTAAAATTCAGTAGAATTTCCATAAAAATTAATAATGTTGAGACCATTTAAATTTAAAAAAATTATCAAATAAATTGTTAAATTAATGAATCATTAATTTAAAGAATTTCCTTAAGAAAAAAAAAATCCTTACCGCTTAACATAATTTTTTTATTAAAAAAAACGCGTTACATATTCAGACCGCGTTCCAGATACGACCAAGCACAGAGAAATTGGCATTTAACAAAACCAGTTCGTGATTCTAAATAATTTATAAGTTAGTAAAAAAAAAAAGCCAGTCTTGGAAGGCTCAAAAACCAAATGGCAAACACTGATTCTAAATATTCAAAGGGTGCTTCATCTTCGAGTTGCAGCAATGATTCAAACAAGAAAGGAGCCGTGAGTCATGTTTTGCCTTACTTGCGGTATGATGGTTTCACTGACTTATTCGAAGTCCCCTCTAAATATTCTCCTCCCTTTGACATTATTGGCCGTGGTTCTTATGGCATTTTCTGGTAAGTAATAAATTAATTACGCTTATGATTAAATGGTTCATTATGATCTTTCTAACTGGTTGGTATTTTCATTCATTTGAATATATAGCTATTATGATCTTTTATTTTGTTTCTTATTTCTATTTTTGTAGTTCTGCTGTGGATGCAGAAACGGGAGAAAAGGTTGCTATTAAGAAAATTTGCAGTGCATTTGACATTACGAGTAATGCTTATAGAATGCTTAAAGAGATCAAGCTCCTCCAACATTTGGATCATGAGAATGTGGGTTGAAGATTTGCCTATCTTTCTCATCTTTGACTTAATATGGCTGTTTTTCGTAGTGGGCTGTGAACCCTTTGAAAAGATTATTAAAACTCCTCTGCTCTTAACTTCTTGAGGTTGTAAAATTTGAAGTCTCTGTTTCATTTTGGGTTGTGATTAAAAGTGTCAGTATTCTTCTACTTCTCACAGATTATTGCTATCAAGGACTTAATTAGACCTCCAAACCGGGAGAATTTCAGGGATGTGTACATTGTGTATAATCTGATGGAAACTAACCTTCGTAAAGTCCTCCGATCTGATCAGGAATTGACTGATGATCACTGCCAGGTTTACTAGCACTACATTTTCCAGTATAGTTCTTGGTTCTAGTGTTTTAATTGGCTTCCCGGATGAATCATGATAATTCACTCATTTAACCATTGTCTTTCCTGCAGTATTTCGTGTATCAGATGTTGCGGGGATTAAAGTATTTACACTCGGCTAATGTCTTGCATTGCGACCTCGAGCCCAACAACATACATCTGAATGCAAATTGTGACCTTAGAATCGGAGGTTTCCGTATAGCAAGGACAAATTCAGACACAGAATATATGACAGCATATGGAGTCGTTACATTGTATCGGGCTCCTGAGTTGCTCCTTCATACTAGTTCAGATTACTCCGCTGCAATTGATGTTTGGTCCGTGGGTTGCATTTTTGGTGAAATGATGACTAGAAAACCTTTGTTTCTAAGCGCAGGTCTTGTTGACCATCTGGAGGTGATTACAGAGGTATGGTTCCCTGTCTGATTCTTCATGAATTTGATAGCAGTTGATTTTCTGGGTTTTTTTATAAAATTTTTTAATTTCATATCAAAAGTTGAACAAAGGTCATAATGCATCAATCAAATTAACTCTAAGTGGATTACAATTTCAGGATGTATTTCAATCATGAAACTGTAACCGTATTACTAATTTCAATTAAATCTTCCTTGCTCTGCAAATCCTTTCTGATGATTGCGCTTCTAAACTACTCTCTGTCGCAAAAAATTAGTCCATGTTGTAGCTTGTGAATTGTACTAAAAACAGTACAATTTACAAATTGCAATACGGACTATTCTTCTGAGTTGGGGGATTCCATTTTTTTTTTTTTTTTTGGGTGCTGTAGCTCTTAGGCACTCCTGATTATGCAAGCCTCGGATACCTGCAAAGCGATAAAGCACGACGAATTGTCGAACAGCTTCCTCAGAACCCAAAACCACAATTAAGGGATAGATTTCTCAATAAGTCTCCTTTGGCAGTTGATTTGTTGGAGAAAATGCTTGTATTTGACCCCAACCAACGCATAACAGGTAACTAAAAAAAGGGATTTTAGTTTTGATCAGCTCCTAAGGCAATGATTTGATCACATTTTATGTGTGTTGGATCTTGCATTTGCAGTTGATGCGGCTCTTTCTCACCCATACATGGAATCCCTTCATGATATAAGTGACGAGCCAGTTTGCAGTGCGCCTTTCCATTTTGATTTGGTGGAGGATTCAGTAACTGGAGAATACATTAAGGAGCTCATTTGGAAGGAATCTCTGAAGTTCAATCCTGATCCAAACTTCTTCCAGAACTACCTTATTCGTCTTATTAGCTTTTGTTGTCCAAATCCATGACTTTTAACGATTGCACCATCGCATAATTTCTTTTATCTTAAAAATGAATGTCTAAATTGTGAACATTATTTATTACGAACCGCACGGTCGTTTTTTGGATGGAAAATGTATGATTGATTAATTTGAGATGACGGGGATTGGTAATGCGATCGTTGGTACATAAGATCAAATTGTGTGTGAATCTTTTATTTTAAAATCTAAGAAAGTTAGTGTAATACATGTCAATTTGAAACTAGTAACACGTTTTCCTTTCCACATTTAAGGTTTGGTTCTTGGACATGATTTGGATGATACATTTCCTAGGATTTTATAGCCTATTCTTTCTAAAGAAAAATGATTCATAAATATTTACAAGAAAAGGAATAATGCCGAGTAAATTATATCTCTTCATTTTATACTTTTTTGTTAAAATTAAAGAATAGTTTAGATTTAAACCATATCATTCCTTGCAAAAATTTTGTATCAACATTCGACTTTCAGAATTAAAAACTCACCCGTCCTTCTGGAACGGAGGAGAGTAGTAAGTTTTCCTACTCTTTCCACAAACTGAGCCGTCAATTTATTTGTTTCTTGGCATCGAAGTCTATTTTGATTCATCTATTTTTCTTTATTCGAAACCACAACTGATGTATGATAAATTTCCTCGTGTACATTCTGTTGGGAGGGAAGGACCAAAAAGGTAAACTAAACCAACTAACTACACAACACAAGCTAATTTTAGCACAATAAAAACAAACCAAAGGTCTCCCAAATTTGCAAAAATTTACACTAAGTGAAAGTAATCAAAGCAATAAAACAATAAGAAACAAAAGCAACACAAGAATGCTAAGAATTACGTAGAAAACCCATTCGATGTAAAGAAGTAAAAATCACGAGATCCTAAGGTTTAAAATTTACTAATCACGAGTATACAATTCAACAATGCCTAAATGATTTTTAGCCCTTAACAAATCTACAAAAGCACTTCTATAAAAATTTGAAAACCAACGTACAACAATTGCCCCTCCAGATTTGAAGAATTCAGATATTGCAACATTGGAAGCCTTGCTAGAAATTTTCTTTTCTCCTCTATTTTGTGGCCAAAAAACACACGCAAAAGCAGCTTGCCCGATCAGAATTTTTTTTTTAATACTTTTTTTATTGCCTTTTAATGCCCCAAAAGTGGACTCAAAAGTGGGCTAAAACATAGCAAAAGTTGGGCCAAAATTATTTAATTTATTTGGGCTTTTTACCCACATAGTTGGGATCCCATTCCAACACATTCTTTTGGGGAAATAGTTGAGCTTTGATAAAATTAGGTTCAGTTTACACAGATAACAGATTGCCTCATGTGAACATATATATGCAATAATGATTTTTCCGTTTGAATCACTTTCAACAGAGTAATGCAACTCAATTTTTGTTTTCAAAAGCGATAATCATATACGGTTGAGATATTACAATTCACCTTACGCGCTATACCTAGCCACAAAAGAAGAGATGGACAATCTCAACACTGTGTTTAATCTTAGGCTAAGCTAAACTGGCTAAAATTATAGCAATATTTCTGATGACAGAGTAAGAAAATTCCAAGAACTCAAGAAATACAAAGAAGATAATAATTCACATTTACAAATGAAATCCAAACATCGCTCAGAAGGGACTAAAACTCCATATCTAAATCGATAGTTTAGATCTATATGGTTAGAAGTCTCAGATATATATATATATATATATATATAAATCCTTCATTTGCAAAATTATTTAACCTCATATCCTTCTTCAATTTCTTCAAAGAGCTGTGGATCTTCTTCTTCTGGATCAGATCTGTTGAAAAAAAAACCTACTAAAAGTACATCTAAAGAAAAAAGCTCCCTCAAATGGGATGAACCAAAACTTTCATACGGAAGAGCAATACTCCATAAAGGGAGAGCAAAACTTCCACGTACAGAAAGAACAAAAACTAAAACTAGAAAACATAGTAAAAGAATTGAGCTCCCCCATCCACCATTAATGATGGATGGAGGAGGAGAAAGAAATTTTGAAGAGGGGGTTAGAGAGAAGGAGGAGGTTTTTTCTCTAAAAAGAAAGGGGAGGTGTTATTTCTTAAGTAATGCAACTCAATATGTGTTACGATTTAACTCAAGATATAAATACATTTTTCGAGGGTCGTATAACATTGGTTAAAACAACGATTAGTAATGATTGACTTCCAAGAAATAATAGTTTAAAGTTTAAACTATTGGTTCACTCTCCAAAGGGTTTTTGCCTCCGGAACCCCAACTTAAGACGATTAGATTATGATTATGATAATGACTATGCAAATTTAATTACGAAAAAGACTCAAAAAATGCAAAATGTCCCAGTCACTACACAATTGCAAAGAGCATAAAAATCAAGATCACCCATGGAATGGATCACCAATTAATCACAGTAGCAAATTAGTCCATTCCATTTTCTAACTTTTGTATAACACGCTACGAAATTTTTAAATCTTTTTTATTTGGATTTAAAAAAAAGAAAAAAACTATATAAAAAAAGAAAAGAAAAAAAGCGTTACATTTTCAAACCGCGTTGAGTTCAGAGCTTACCAACTACCAAGCAAAAATGGCGTATGAAGTTATACTCTCGAATCAGAAACCCACCTTAAATTCTTGATCCAAGCAGCTTGAAGAGTTACTACCTTTTGATCCTTTTGTCACTAACCCATTTCGCGATTCTTAATCTTTAAGAAGCTAGTAAAAAAACCAGTTTCGGAAGCTCAAAAAAAAAAAAAAACAAAAATGGCCACTGATCAAACAAGTTCAGATTTAAAGAATGCTTCATCTTCAAGTTGCACCAGCGATTTTGACAATAGCAATTCTAATGTTTCCCCTTACGTGCGGCATGATGTTTTCGGTGACGTATTCGAAGTCCCTTCTAAATATGTTCCTCCCATCAGCCCAATTGGTCGTGGTTATTATGGCCTTCTCTGGTAATGGTTAAGCTTATGATTGGATAGTTCATTATAATAGCGTTTCTTAACTGGTTTGGATGTAGTTTTTGCTTTCTTTTTCTAATTGGTTTTCTTTTCTATTTTGTAGTTCTGCTGTCAATGCAGAAACGGGCGAAAAGGTTGCTATCAAGAAAATTTGCGATGCATTTGACAGTAGGATTAATGCTCGTAGAATTTTGAAAGAGATCAAGCTCCTCCAATCTATGGATCATGAGAATGTGCGCTGAAGATTACTTATTATGTATCTTTGACTTAATATGAGCTGATCAAATTCGGGTCCTTTTTAATCTAAAAAGATTAAAATCCTCTGTTCTTCTTGAAGTTGTAATTTGAAGTCTCTGTTCCATTTGGGTTGTGATTAAAGTCTCTGTTCTTCTACTTCTCAGATTATTGCTATCAAGGACATAATTAGGCCTCCAAAAAGGGAGGATTTCAGGGATGTGTACATTGTGTATGATCTAATGGATACTGACCTTCATCAAGTTATCCGATCTGATCAGAAATTGACGGATGATCATATCCAGGTTAATTTAGTAGCACTACATTTCTCCAGCATTGTTCTTGTTCTACTGTTTTAATGGGCTTCCCGGAATGATCATTATTACAGTTTATTTCACCGTGCCCTTTTGCTGCAGTATTTCTTGTACCAGATTTTAAGGGGATTAAAGTATGTGCAGTCGGCTAATGTCTTGCATTGTGGCCTCAAACCCAACACCATATTTCTGAATGCAAATTGTGACCTTAAAATCGGAAGTTTCGGAATGGCAAGGACAGATTCAGACACTGATTTCATGAAAGCATATGGAATCATTACACATTATTGGGCTCCTGAGGTACTCCTCAACCGTTCAGCTTACTCTGCTGCAGCTGATATTTGGTCTGTGGGTTGCATTTTTGGTGAAATGATGACAAAAACACCTTTGTTTCCAAGAAGAGATTATGTTCACCATCTGGAGTTGATTACAGAGGTATTATAGTCCTCCCGGATTCTTCAAAGATTTGATAGCATTTGATTCTGGATTTTTCAAATCAAAACTTGAAAAAAGCTCTTGTTTGCATAACTGCCTCAATCAAAGTAATTCTTAAGGGGATAGTTTAGATGAATCACTTTTTTTTTCTTAAGTAAACTCTGAAAACAGAACACGCTTCACTATTCCAAAAGATTCTTCACTTCTGAACTACTATTTCTTTTTTTCTCTTTGGTGCTGTAGCTCTTAGGCACTCCTGATTATGCAAGCCTCGAGTTTCTGCAAAGCGATAATGCGCTGCGAATCTTCGAACAGCTTCCGCAGTACCCAAAACAACAGTTAAGAGATAGATTTCCTAATCGGTCTCCTTTGGCAATTGATTTGTTGGAGAAGATGCTTGTATTTGAACCCAACAAACGCATAACAGGTAAATAGGAAAAAAAGGGATAAACAATCTGCTTTTTGAATTGAGTTTTGATGAGCTCTTAAAACTATGAGTTGATCACATTTAAGTCTGATGGATCATCTTGCATTTGCAGTTGATGAGGCTATTTCTCACCCATATTTGGAATCTCTTCATGATACCAATGACGAGCCAATTTGCAGTACGCCTTTCCACTTTGATTTTGAACAGGATTCAGTGACTGAAGAAATCATCAAGGAGCTCATTTGGAAGGAATCTGTGAATTTCATCAACTCCTGATCCCAGAAAAACTTCTTTCAGAGCTAGCTTTTTAATGTTAGCTTTTGTTGTACTCCCCCGTCCCCCAGTACTTAATATAAGGCATTTTGATTTATCTTAGATTTAACCTAGTACGCATTTTTAATTAACGAAAAAACCTTTAAAATATTTCATAACGATCAAGAGAATATGACGAATGTGAAAATATATTTTTAATGTTTTTTCGTCAAATAAATATACATACTAAGTGAGATTTAGAACAAATCAAAATTACTTATTCTATTAAGGGCCGGAAGGAATACAACCCATGAATTTTAACCATTGCATAATCGCAGACTTCTTTCCTCTTCTCAAAAATGAATGCTTGAAGTTGTAAATATTACTACAAAATATGCACCCTATCCTAAAATTATTGCATAGTTTCAATTTTTTACTTTTAGTTCAATTTGTACTAAAAATGAAAATTTAAACTGGATAAATAATTTCGGGACGGAGAGAGTAATTATTATTTTAAGATAGAAAAAGTATGATTTATTACTTTAGGTCTTAGAACGGGATTGGTAATGTAGGATCAAATTGTGTGTGAATCTTTTGTTTTAAATAGGAAAATTTCTACTAATAACGTTAGTTTGATACATGAATTTAGAAACATGTTTTGCTTTTCCACATTTAGGGTTTGGTTCTTGGAAAAGATTTGGATAAATATTTCCTACGATTTTTTTTTTTTCTAATACCTTAAAAATAGTCTAATTGTCCCCCATTCTAAGGAAATAGTTCACTTTACTCACATCAAAGTTTCAAATCTGGATTAAAAGTATACAAATCTCAAAATATTATGCTAACTTTTTTGTTTGTTTTTTTTTTTTGGTAGAGAATACTTTCTTTTTTTATTTTAACAAAGTATATTATTTTTCTGACACCGAAGGAACATAATTTTATCTTGAAATTGGTTGCTTTGATGATTTATATCCCAATCCTTATAGCGAAGAGAATAATCACTTTGACAAACTAAAAATTGTAGCAGTTTGAACAGTCAGAGCAAAAGCGACTACAAGCTAGTCTAACAATCTTCTAAAAGTCAACCACAGTGGATATCGTCAACCGAAGAAACTCTAAGTATATTACCAAAACAATTTAAAAAATGGTGACAAAATTGTTACCTACTTAATAATACTTGTTCAAACTTCAAGGCTTCAAAAGAAAAGTTTTCTCCGGAGTCCAGAAAATAAATTAAAAACATCATATTCAAAGTTCAATCAAACCGCGTTCATAAATAAATTCAAAGGGTCCCTGTTTCCCCCATCTCCCCTCTTCTTCACGGCCCAGCGAAAAAATGCCCGTTTAAATTTCAACTCTTTTTTTTCCTGATAATTATTAAATCAGAAACTCACCCCAAATCTTGATTTGAACCCATTGAAGCAGCTTGGAGATCCATCTTTTTAATCCTTCTGTTCTTCTGATACGGTTCATTCAAGTTTGTGATTTCAAACTCATAAGAAACCAAAACTTTGAAAGTTCAAATGGCCACTCAGGCAAGTTCAGCTCCAAACGGTTCTGCAACTCACAGTAATGGCAGCAATACAAACGTGAACGGAGTGCTTACTCATGGTGGCCGTTATGTTCGGTACAATGTTTTTGGTATCTTATTCGAGGTCTCCTCCAAATATGTTCCTCCCATTCGCCCTATCGGCCGGGGTGCTTATGGCCTTGTTTGGTAATAATATATTAAGCTTGATTTATCAATACTTTGCTGTTTGGGACTTTGATTTGATCTGAAAGTCACTGCTTGTTTGCTGATAGATTGGATTCTTTCATTTGGGTTCTTTTGTTTTGTTTTTTTTTCCTGTTTAATTTATTTAATTGTTTTTTGTTTTTGTAGTTCTGCTATCAATGTAGAAACCCGTGAAGAGGTTGCTATTAAGAAAATTGGGAATGCATTTGACAATCGAATTGATGCTAAAAGAACTTTGAGAGAGATTAAGCTCCTGCGCCACATGGATCATGAAAATGTAAGTTGAATACTGCTTAAGTGCTTATCTTAGCTTGGGTCATATTGATATTGCTTGATTGATCAAATTAGAATGTTGAGTTTCTAATTGCTAATTTTAAACTTGAGTGCTTTTTGTGTATTGGTTTTTAGTCTTTTCACTAGATTAAAGTGTCCTATGTTCTTGCACATATATTTATAAATTTCTGAAATTGATGTTTATGAGGATGTCTCCTTTGGATTGTGAGTAAGTGTTTGTTCGACTTATCAGGTAGTGGCAATCAAGGACATTATTCGACCTCCAAACCGAGACCATTTCAATGATGTGTACATTGTCTACGAATTGATGGATACTGACCTTCACCAGATTATTCGGTCTGATCAAGAATTAAATGATGATCACTGCCAGGTCTAATTCTAACTGATACTTTCCTGTACTCAGTTTGTTCCCGGCTAAATTGTTTTACATTTTACCACATTCTTTCTGTCCAAAATTAGAATCTGCCTACTTCTACCGACGTTGGAATGCAAGTTTATTATAGCCCCTTCTGGAAATTTATCATAGTAGAGTTTCTTTTTGCCTTTTTTAAATCATGCTTCTTTTATATCAGTGGTTCACTATCTATGGTAAGGTTCCCCTTGAAAGAGCATGGTATTCATTTCCCATGTTTTTTCCTTCAGTATTTTTTGTACCAGCTGTTGCGAGGATTGAAGTATGTACACTCGGCTAATGTGTTGCATCGTGACCTCAAGCCCAGCAATTTGTTTCTGAATGCAAATTGTGACCTTAAAATTGGAGACTTTGGATTGGCAAGGACAACTTCTGAAACTGATTTCATGACAGAATATGTAGTCACTAGATGGTATCGGGCTCCTGAGTTGCTACTCAATTGTTCAGAATACACTGCTGCAATTGATATTTGGTCTGTCGGTTGTATTTTTGGGGAAATAATGACACGAGAACCTTTATTTCCTGGAAGAGATTATGTTCAGCAGCTCAAGCTGATTACTGAGGTATGGATTCTCTGAAAATTATTTTTTTTTTCTTGAATTGATTCTTGAATTTGTTTCCATATTGGAATGGATATTGTTGCATTTAGAACTTAGAACCTTGTCCAGATAGAGAGAAACTGAGAATGGGAAACAAGTTCGAATATGTTACATTGAAACACATTGAGAAGTGATTCAAAATAAACATCTTGCATTGTAATTCTGGGAAATCTGTTAAATTGTACGATTGTTGTCTCTGCAGCATTTCCTTTTCTGTGATGTTTTTTTTTTTCCAAAAAAAATCCTCTGAGACTGAGTTACAACTTTACTCTTTTGGTGCTATAGCTCTTAGGTACTCCTGACGATGCGAGCCTCAGATTCCTGCAAAGCGATAATGCACGGCGTTATGTCAGACAGCTTCCTCAGTACCCTAAACAACAACTAAGTGGCAGATTTCCCAACATGTCGCCTATGGCTATTGATTTATTGGATAAGATGCTAGTGTTTGATCCCAGCAAACGAATAACGGGTAAAAGGAAAATCTGTTTTGAATATTGTGGTTGCCTGCGATTTGATTGCCTTCTAAAGCTTTTACTTGACATTTCATTGGGTCCGTGCTTGCAGTTGATGAGGCACTATCTCACCCATTCTTGAAATCTCTTCATGATATCAATGACGAACCAGTTTGCCCTAGACCTTTCCATTTTGATTTTGAGCAGCCATCAATAACTGAGGACAACATTAAGGAGCTCATTTGGAAGGAATCAGTAAAATTTAACCCTGATCCTTCTAGCTAGACAACTAAGTTTGTTTTGGCTTCCATTGTACATATTTTGAACCGTACGAAAAGCCATAAGATTTCCCAGGGTTAGGATGATTATTTAGAGTTTCAAAATGTTAGAAAGAGACAAAGTTTATAGCAGATTTGTGACATTTATGTCATATGTATCAAACAAGATTTAAGCTTTGGCACAATTATGGGGAGAAAGTTTGTAGATGGTGCTGCACGAGTCACCAATGCCACCAATTCTGATGGAAATAATATGAGAAATATACAATAGCATGTAGTTTACAAGCCATTTCTCTTGAATAGTTTATTCTTGCAGGAGCAAGTCCGAAGATTAACCTCCCGAATAGGTCTGTGATCAGTGGGGAAGTTACAAGTTGATAGGCCCTCTTGTTCTGGTAACAAACTGCAGGGCTTAGGAGTGACGCCACTTGAAACCCCAGCAACATTAGTGCAATTCCAAGGTAATTTTTTCGCACTCGTGGCCATTCCAATTGTGACATTAGAAATGCATATTCCTGTAAAGGTATCACCAGGAATTCCTTCCAAACGTGCAGCCATAGTTACATTCTCAGCGACCATGTCTTGATAATTAATATTATCGATCACAGGGAGAGCATTTGGATCATAATTATTATCTGGATGAGAACCATAGTTTCCTGTCATCCAGAACACGTACTTCATTGTCTTCATTGTCATACCTTTCACAAATACATCTTTCACATATCCACCCCTGCCAACTGCGGTCTTAATCCTGACTGCCGATTCTGTATTAATCGCAACTATGTCCTCTGCTCGGACATCTTCAATCCCTCCAGACATCTCACTGCCTAGTGCAATGGTTGCACTGGTAGGGGAGATGCAAGTAAGCCCTTTTATAAAAAGCTGCTTGGTCGGCATCCCAAAGGCTATACCATACTCATCCCAACCACTCTTCACTGCAACACAATCATCTCCAGAGACAATGTAGCAGTCCTCTATGTGAACATTCGTGCAAGAATCTGAAATTTACCCAAGGGGTCATATTTTAGGTTAATAACGTGATAGAAAAAGCTAAACCAAATTTTTCCTTGGTTTTTACCTGGATTGATCCCATCAGTGTTTGGCGATCTTACTGGTGCAGTAATTGTGATGCCTCTTACAACTACATTACTGCATTTTTGGATGATAAAGAAAATTCATTTAGAACTAGAAAACTTGCATTCTTAGTAAGACGCCTTTATTAATGTGTAGCAAGCCATTGGTATGATAGAGAAAGAACCAAGTTTAGGATACCTGCTGTAAACAGGATGGACATTCCATGATGGGGAATTAACCAACACAATGTTGGAAATTTCGACTTCATCTGAGAACATAATTTCAATCAGATAAGGCCGGGTGTACTGAAGTGATCCATTGCGAAACTTATTCCACCATATTTGGCCTTGGCCATCTATGGTTCCATTGTTCCCTGAAAAATGAGCTAAAATGAGCTTTTTCCTATACATTCTAAATGCACAACAGCTGTTATTACAACATCTGATACTTACCTGTTATTACAACATCAGTGAGGTTTGTTCCGAAGATAAGGCTGACAAATCTACCACCCTGAGTGTCTCTTCCTCTACCATATGATGGTAGCGGATCAATTACAGCGTATTCACTTTCATCCTGGACCCAAAGAAAAAATTGTCACATAAACATCAACTTGTCAAACAAAGAAATTCTCAAAAGTCCATTTCCAATTTGCATAATAGACCCCATCCTAATTCTTAACCACCCACTCCATTCTGGAAGTGGTACAGAATATTTTTAGTGGACATATTGTTTAACCACCAAACTCCTTTCTATCCTTTAGAGGAACAATACACAACATTATGATCAATAAGAAATTGCTTATGACCATTCCAGCCGATTTAGGTAATCTTTTGGGAGCCATTCACGTGAAACTACAGTAAGTAGTTGACTGATTACAGTATCATGAAATAGTACTGTACTTATTTTATTCCGTTCGTCCCAGAATAATTGTCAAGTATCACTCTAACAAGAATATCATCACCATAAGTCAAGACATGGAGAAGTTAGGTAATGTAGGTTGCAAAGGAGATATCCTAATTTCACACATATATGGTCCATCCTCCAGAACCATACATGCCTTGCGCATTATTGTAGAAAATTTTTCAACCATTATCCCTTGCGTCTTCTTGTGCTTTTAGTGGGCTTCAAAGTGGGGGGAAGCAACTCAGTTTTCAGTGGCTTCGAAACTGTCAAGAACACAAGTAACCACCACCACCACCCATTTTTAAGCATTTGTAGTATGTGGGAATGTCACACGAACTCTATTTTTATACTACAATCATACCCTTTTGGGTTGTTGCCCATAATCATTGTTCATTTTCAAGTGGAAGTCCATGTGGTTCGACCATTCCAGCTTTCCCTCCACATCTTCACGCTCACATTTAGGTAAAATAGAAAACACAAATGGACTTTTTTTTGTCTCCTTTTCTTTTATCCAGGAAGAAAACGGACAGCATTTTATACAGTTTCTGAGATGTTTAACTATTAGCCTCTAAAATTGGTAGTAAAGAAGACTCTATAATAACTGAGACCAATCTTATATCTCTGCCGGGGCACATATATCATACAAATTCCGGTTTTTAATTTCCTATGGATATGTAAAGGGTCCCTTTTAGCAAATAAAGCCTAGAAATGGTTGATTCAATATTTTTTTATATCTATATTCTATCGGATCTTTGGACCTTTTTAGTAGTTAAATTCAAAGGGCGGCTCCAAGTAGCAGCCATCATGCATTAATCAAGAGTAAATGACAAAACTGTAGCGTCTATAAAATTATGATCATCATTAACTAATCGAATTAACAGAACACTTAAGGCCACTAAAACAGAGCGAGTAAATTAATCAAAATTGATGAAACCAAAGGGCAAGTCAATATGTAACTGACATCAAAATCTTGCACTAGAAACCAAACACTTTATCATGTCTTCATTCATGTGTACAATTTTCATGGCCAGAATTTAATGAAAGAAAGAAAAGGGCAAAACAGGACAAACCTGAGAACCAAGTAGAACAGCATCTTGGTGGAGAAACAGAGTGAAATGGCTGCTGGTGATGTTGAAATTCCCTGTCAACCATTTTCCCGGAGGAACGAACAGGATTGAACCACCATATGATTCAAATTGGCTAAGATAATTGATTGCATCCTGGAAAGCCTTCGTGTTTGATGTAATTCCATCACCAATCCCTCCAAATTCCGTCAATGATGCAGCATAAGCTCTGCAGTTTATGCTGGAATACTCGAAATAATCCTCCCCGTGATGAAATCTCCGGCCATTGGCTTTCTTCCCACAACTTGACAGAATCACAGCAAACAGGACCAGAAGAAGGGCGTTATAAATTCCCTGCAAGAAATAAACCCAAAAAAAATTTAAAACAAAATTGAAGAAAATTTGTCTGAATGATCATCAAATCACTGTTTATTGTTGAATGCATTAAAGGGATGGTTGGAATTGTTGAAAGGAATGGAATTGAAAGCTTTATTTACAGCTCTTCTATGACTTCGAATTTTCATCATCACAGGCTTCTTCTTCAGGGCAAAGGCAGTTGAGGAGTTTGTTTCGGTTAGATACGAAATAGGAGGAAAGTTCACTTTGTTTTTATAGTCCGCACGATGCTTTGTTTTTTTTTAAATACTTTTTTTAACCTTTTTTCTTTCATTTTTCTTGTATCATTATTGCGGTTGCCGGTTAGTATAATTTATTAGTTTGTTGGAAAAATATTCCTTATACCAAAAAAAAAAAGAAAAGAAAAAAGGTTGTATTCTTTAATAAGTTGGGTGAAGTGCACTTTGCTCGCTTCAATTAATGGAATTTCTTGAATTCCTCGTGTGACTAATAAATTGAAAAGTATAAATGTTGACGACGTATATTGAATTATCTGATGTCTTCATTATTATTCTTTCTTTTTTTTTTCCTGGTACATATACAGTGAAATATGAGATTTTTCTCTCGTACTTGTGTTTGTCTAAATTACTTCTTTGATTTGTTGTTAGGGAAGCTCTACATGACATAAAGTAGTATAAAACACACTATTTTGAATGAATTAAATTTAGCACTTTGGAGGGAAGAAACTGATTATCAAAGATAACTTGTCACATGAACCCGTAGGGTGGATGTAGAGCTCCTGAGGGTGACTGAAGGTAAGTTTTTTTACCAGTTTTGTCGGACTTTTGATGAGATTAGGAATTTCTTGATATGGAATTAGGTGATGACAACTAGTTTTGATGACACTGACAATACTCCTCTGACCTAACTTTTTTCCAGGATTAGGAAAAATTCTGGCAGTTGTACATTTTATTTACACACGAGGCTGAAAAAGAAAACAAAAGAAATCATAATAAGATCAATAATAGGGTAGATTTAATTTAATAAATTTAATTGACACGCTTCAAGATATCTTTAGTCATCAATTTGGACATAATGTCGTGTAAAATTATATGATCCAATCACACATTGCTCTATTAGATTAATAATTCTTACTTCCTCGACTATATTTTACTATTCTTTTTATCTCGGAAAAAAAAAAAAAACCAAAGCGTACTAGCAAGAAGGAATGAGTAGTATTCTAATTACAAGCAATTTGCTAACAGAAATTTCCTCGGCCCATCCCAAAATAATGTGAGACAAAGAAGGGTGAAAAGTATTGTTATTACTTTTGATAATGATTTAGGTGAGGAGTGAGGAGTGTCTAATCTTGTTTGATACTTTGAAAGAACATTTTAAATTAAAAGCGAAGAAGGAGAGTAGGAGAATGTAATAAGCCCATATACAGGGCGTTAGAACAAACAATTACGTACATTCATTGATCCATAACCAGACTTGTTGCTCTCGCATTCAGAAAGATTTAATTAGGACCCATCCCTTGAGGAGTAAGCATGATGAAGAAGGTTGATTAAAGTGTCGGGATAAGGTAGCCAAAATTTAGTTACAAGTATGGACTATATGGCATTCCCTTTCTTTCTTACAAGCTACGGGTGTATCATCCATAAGAGGAATGGCATTTTATTGCACTCATCTCTTTACTCACATTGCATGTATTTAACCGGTTTTGAATTCGGAAAATCAATTTTTTTTTTTTTTTTTTGTCTCAGTACAAACAACTAATGAATGAATGTCACATTGCTTTGTTTGTTTTCTTTTTTAGTTGGTTTTTTTTTTTTCAGAATTAAATAATAATAATGTCTCATTCCAGCATAACTTTTTACATTTTTAATGTATCTTTTTACATTTTCAATACAAAAAACAGCTAAAAACATGCACTAAAAAAACGAAACAAACATATTTTTCTCCTTTAATAATTAATTGATGACATTATATGTCTATAATATTGATAACAAATGAATGAAGAGCTTTCAAGAATCACAATATATTACTCTTTTTCTTCAATTTTTATCCCCCACCGTATCTATCGTTATTATATTCGCGTTTTCATTTGGAAATTGTTACTACTAAAATGAGCTTTCTAAATAGGATGCCCTCGGCAATTGGGCTAAGAATGATTTGTGACACTTCTGAGTTTGATGGGTTTTGTCCAAGAGAGACAAGATGTCCACAAAACTGTTTGTCCTCTAGTTTCTACATCCAAGTTTCGACGCCATTGTTAAAGAAGCTCGTGAGTTTTTGGTGCCCACACTACTTCCATCACTGATTCAGCAACAAACTTCACGGGTTATGATGGACCAAACACACTCCAAAATAGGGTTGGAAATAGTGGCTAAAGGGCCCCTAACCCCCGAAAACAACTTTATGCTGCGGTAATGTAATAAAATTAGTCAACTCCGAACTACGTTTGAGATTTCACAATTCACATTATAACTTTAGTTTGAGAAGAAAATGTCAAATTAGTCTTCAACTTTCAACCCCACTTCAACTTCATATTAATGTAATATGAGATTGCAAATTTCATTTTGATGTTCGCCAATTTTATCCCCCCCTCATCCAATAAGCAAAACCCACTTGGTCAAAGATCGCCGAAAAACATGTTTTATTGTTTCTAAACTTTAGGATTAAAAAATGACATTTAATTAACTTAATTTTTTTACATTAATTTAATTATTTAAATTAAACGCCATTTTGAAATTAATTATAATTAAGACACTTAATTAAATTAGTTTAATTGTGGCCTAATAATGATTTTCCATTTCTATTCTGATTCCTAATTTCATATCATGAGCCTCTCTAATTGTTGAGAGATGCCCTTCTTTCACAAAGTTCTTTCATATACATGCAGATATTAATAGACGGACGTTTAATATTAAAAATAATTACCATTACAATACTTGGAAAGAACTGAAACAAAACATATAAGAATAAAAAAAGGGAAAAAGTCACTTTATGTACAGTAAGAATAAGGGATCTCCATATCATGTACTCTAAGAATGAGTGTCACCAAATCATGTACTTTATGTTTGAGTTTTGTTGTTTTAAGTATTTTTAAGGGCAAAATGGAAAACTAACAAAATTTTGTCCGAAACTATTATATTTTTGCCCCCCAAACTTCTAGAAAAGAGTAAATTGCACCATAAAGTTTATTGATTTTACACAAATTTATCTTTCTGTCAGATTTTAGCAAATTGTACCTAGATTTTTGGTCAAAATTTTCCCATAACTTCCAGTGTTTATTATTTTGACATAAATATTTACTTCATTTTAGCAAGTTTTTCTTTATTATAAGTTTATTTATATTTTTATTTATCCTTTTGCATGATTATTATTAAAAGTATTTTTTTATTCTTTCATTTTCTGTACTTTTTGTTTAAGTACTTTACACTTTGATGCATTTCTAGTAACACAATATTTTTTTAACGCAAATTTCCAGAGTTTATTTTAGGTGAATAAGAACAAAATCTAAAAAAAAAATTATGTATTAGTAGAAATGCATCAAAGTGCCAAGAACTTGAATAAAGGTACAAAAAAAAATGACTAAAAAAATATTTTTAAAAATAATCATGGAAAACAAAGAATAAACTTATAATAACAAAAATTCACTAAAATAAACAAAATGTATGTCAAAACTAATAAACATTGGAAGTTTTGATAAATTTTTGACAAAAAATTTAGGTGTAATTTGATGAAATCTAACTGAAAGATAAATTTTTGTAAAATTAATAGAATTGATGGTGCATATTGCTCTTTTCCAGAAGTTTGGGGCAAAACGTAATACTTCAGGACAAAATTTTGTTAGTTTCCCATTTTGTACTTCTAAAAGTACTTAAAATAATAAACTTCAAACATAGGGTACATCGTACATGATTTAGTAAGACCAAATCTTAGGGTACACGAACTAGAGACCCTCTATTCTTAGGGTACATAAAGTGGATTTTTCTAGTAAGAAAATTATATCAACTCATGCTCAAGATTCTGAAATTACACACTACCGTAACATAGATTACATCGAGAAGTTTGCTTTGCAGGATGGCTGTATGCATCGCTTTGTGCTGTCCTGAATCATCAATCTAAAATAAAAATAAGAATATTATTACTGTACCCTAAATAAATAAATAAATACAAGCATCAATTAGCTAGTGAGGTCAAAATATCAGATTCAGTACCAAAGTTACAGAAACATGGACGACAATTTTTAAAAATAAAACCATCTCGCTTCTTGTTTCTCCGTTAAAAGATTCTTCTTCAAAATTTCTTAACAAAAGTAATTTTATTTCTCCACAACAATTCAACAATAAATTAAGTATAACGTAAATAATTCTCAAAGTTTTTAAACACGTAGTATTTTTTTTAAAAAAAGGGGGGTGGGGTGGGGAGGTTATTTAGGAGAGGGAAGGAGATTGAGGTGGTCTTGTTTCAACTTTCAATCGCGTAAACGAATCAAAGATGGAGACACGAAAGAGAAAAAGATGTTGCGCGAGAGAAATATTCACCAAACTAGAATTTGTTTATAAAATAGGAGTTTATTTGTTGTATCAAAGAAATAGAGAAGTTTTTGGAATAGGATAAAATTTCTTTAATGGAGATCATATTATTTGGAAGCAATATAATCTTCATAAACAAATTCCAACAGTTCCGAGTTTAAAATAATTATAAAAGAAAGCCACATAGCTCAACTGTTGGGGATCAACTTTGACCCATTTTGACCGGCCCAACTGGACATCCTACTTGGGGCTTGTCTTGTAAGCCCAAGTAGCCCATTTATTCTTTCCAAAAGGCCCAGCCGGGTTATAAGGAATAAACCTTTGTTTATTTATGCTTTTGCCTCTCCCAACACGGGGGCCCACAGGTATTGTCCCATTGGGACCTATAAATACTTCTTGCTCATTTATTGCTAATTATATTCCACACTATCGTTTCTCTCTCTAAGTGTGATAATTGCCTACTTCTCTCCCTAGAACTGACTTAATCTTCGGAGTGCTAACCTCCGTCTTGCAGGTTCCTGTCTAGGTCGGACCGTTGACTCTCCGCCCCCGGGATTTACCCTCGACAAGTGGCGTCGTCTGTGGGAAACATTTATTCCCGTTTGGCCGAGGGCAAATCCAATTGTTCTATGAGAGTTATGGTCTCC